AATTAATCTTTACATAAGTAAAATTTTATTGCACTACAAATGAGTACTATTTTAAAACCAGTTTACTTTGGCATAAATAAATGAAATTCTCTATATATGAAATTTATGATAAGGCATATTTAGCCATGGAGAAAAGCAGGTAGTCATATGATGCTTCCATAAAGGCCTCAGCCTTTACTTTTATTTATTTCTACCACTGTTTTTGTTTTGCTTCTGTTGTACATGCAGCAGTCAACTGTACACTCAATGCAAGTGAAAACTGTCCTTTGTTACTGCAACTGTTGGCTAGAGCTATCATTCTTTGTGCATTCATTTCCCAGTACTTGTGGTCCACACCGTCCACAAAATGAGCTTCTCCTATCTGATAGGAAAGCAGATCTACTGCTTTGATTATTTCTTGGAATTTCTCCCTAATTCTGTGGTGTCATTTAAAGTTGTGCTTTAAAGTATTATATATTCTATTATTGAGTCCAGTTCCTTCTTTTCTTGAAGCTATCATCTTAAACTCTCTGAACAAGAGCCATCTGGAAATCTTGATCCTGCCCTCCATCCTTTCAGTGAGTCCACGTCAGCACAGCTGGGTTGCAGCAGGCATTGCCTAGGTGCTGCTGGTCTGGCTATGCTCCAGACCCCCACTGTTAATATGCAGCTCTTGTCGTTTTGTGTTAAGCATGGTTAGTAGATGAAGCTCAAGGCAGCATTCAGAAGTTCAGGCTCCTTTGGGCACAGATGCTAATCTCACAGTCACATATGATTTGAGTAATGCTGTTTATATGTAGAACTTCTGTTGCCACATGGTCCCAGTCTGCCCAGTCTCCATATTGACACTGTAGAAACTTTTTCACTTTTTTTCCCCAAGAGGCCTGAACTAAGTACTATATAGACTATGCAAACAGAAATATTTTCTCTGTATTAAAGGGACTACTATGAATCTAACATGAAACCAAACGTCATTTTTATGCTGTCAAAATCGACAACTTCTACTGTCTCTACTTATTCACCAACCCAAACAAAATTTGAGGCTTTAAACCAGCAATGTCCAATACAACTTTCTGCAGTGATGGAAATTTTCTACATCTCCTCTGCCCAGTACAGTAGCCATTAGTCACATATGGCTATTAAGCATTTGAAATATGGCTACTGCAGCCAAGGAATGGATTTTTAAAATCTTATTTCATTTTAATTAATTTAAACTTAAATTTAAACAGACAATGTGGCTAGTGGCTCTCAACAACTAAGGGTCTGAGATTTTTACCCTACTTGCAGGCTAACGAAATTAGTGTGCCACAGTTTCATGAGGATGCTGCAAAAGACAGGAAATTCTAGGGTCAGAAACAAAGGACTATACTACTCACAAAAATAGCAGTAGTATCATCATAGTTGTGCCAGTCTCTTGAAACTCAGCTCCCCTGATGTGATGTGAAGTGGACACTCAATGATTTGCATTGTCAGAGGGAGACCCTGAGCTTAGGGTACTTGAATCTTTTAATCTGAACGATGAAATCTACCTGCCCTTTGCTCCAGAGGGAAAGAATACCTCTATCTTCCAAAACTATGTACTATATAAATGTCTTTGAGTAGAGAGTCTGGGATGAAAGCAGTAAATGCCTTTGCTCAGAAGACATGCAAAAGTCTGAGTGACTTACGTGGAATTAAATCCCAACATAGGGGTACCCTACATATCTCTGAAATCCACTCATCTCCCTCCTGCTTGAGTAACTTGCTTTTAGCCATACTTAATTTCTTCCTATGATCTTCCAAAATGGTTAGCCTTCTTCCACTAGTGCCTCCTCCCACTCATTCCCTATACAGTAGCTAGAATGCATCTTGTAACACAAATCTAATCTTGTTTCAGTCTTCAATGTCACCCACTGTCCTTAGGATTAGGCCACCCCTCAGCAAGGTTCACGAAGCCCCAAATGAGGTGGCTCTGCCTTATCTGCAGCACTTTACCTGCTTGTCTGCTTAAGGTTTATGCCATAAGCCACCTTAAACGCCTCTCATTTTCTTACATGTAGAGATCATAAAGTGGGGCCCTAGGTTGAATACCAACTACAGATTGATCTGGTTTGGCCCACAGAATAGTTTTTAAAACATTTGGGCTATTTCATATTTGGGAGATTTCATATTTATAAAATATGAATTTTAAGCTCCTCTTTAGAAATCAAGGCATCTGGCAACAATTGGCCTGAATCCCAACCCGACAATACTTGGCTGAAACTGAGTATCTACTTTTCCCTTTAGACAGCCTGGATTCTCCAGATTGCCATGCCTCTCCCTGCTGCTCCTACCTATGTATTCTTTTACATTTTCTGCCTGACTTCCATTCTAAAGCATCATGCTTCCTTTGGTCTAGAACACTCTTTCAATCTTCCCACTTCTTTAGCTGCTAACTACCACTCATGCTTCAGGTCTTCATGTATTCGTGCCGCTAGGAAGTTTTCCTTCACCACCACCAACCCAGTTAGGATAAGATGATGCACTGTGTGACACTCACCTACCCAGGACCCTGCCATCCCATCGTATCTTCTGAGGTTCTCTGCCCTACTCCTATCATGCCATGAATCACACGATATTACAATTTTATAAATATTTTCTTTCTAAATTTATAATTCTCTGTTTACAAATCTCCATCCCTTGCTAGACTTTTAAGTTAAAAGAAAGTGACTACAACTGTCTTGTATACCACTGAATGTCACTGCCTAGGAAAAAGCCAAACATATCGTGTGGGCTGAACAAACACATGTTGCATAAATGAATGAAACAAGTTAGCTGAGGAATGGCTACTTCAAAATATTGGGGAAGAGTGTATTTATATTTTTATATATGTATTTATTTTTTTAATGTGGACCACTGAAATGCCATTCCTTCCCCCTCTCCCCCTACCCTGGAGAAACTAAAATAACGGCTTGAGTCAGAGAGCAACAGCTATATACTGGCAATGTGCTAAGACCCACACATGGATTAGCTCACTTAATGCTGACAACAGTCCTTTCAGGTTAGTACTTCATTATTTCCATTCTGGAGATTTAAACCATTAAACCCTGGATAAGATGAGGCCTTATTCTCCATAACACTACAGTCAATTGTAGGGATACACAATGACTGAAATTTCTGCCAGGAGACCTGAGAGCACATGACAGCAACAGCAACTTTATTGACAGCCCCTGTCTTTTGAGCTGTCTGTGGTTTTAATAATTAGCTTTTACAGATGAAAAGAATTCAAATGGTAAAGAAAGTTCTTATACACACAAGAAGCTTTCATGGCTATTACACCAACTGACACAGTTTCCAGGGCAGCAACAAGGATCTTTAATCTCATTTCACAAATAGAAAAACAAAGGTATGGAGCAATAAGGCCAAATGTAAAGTTAACACTCAGAGTGCACCTCAGCCCACCATGCCTTAATGTGAGAGTCCAATCAAAGCCCTCAAAGCCCTGTACGTAAAAACCTAAGAAATTCTACATATAGCAGATAGATAATTCTTGCTAGGAGAAAGAAGAGCATCAGGGTTGAGTCAAACAAAATACAACCTAGGCAGAAAGTCAAGGTCCCTGATCAATCTTTTCCAGGTGGAATTCTTGCTCATTGTTTGACTGGAGCTAAAAAAAAAAAAAAAAAGTTTTAAAAACAAGGAAAATTCTCACTAAGAGTCTTTTTTTTTTTTTTTTTTCCTTTGCCGCCCAAGTTGGAGTGTGGTGGCATGATCACAGCTCACTGCAGCCTCAACCTCCCAGATTCAAAAGATCCTCCCCGCTCAGCCTCTTGAGTAGCTGGGACTACCAGCATGCACAACCACACCTGGCTTTTTGATTTTTATTTTAAAATATTTTTTGTAGAGACAAGGTCTCACTATGCTGCCCAGGCTCGAACTCCTGAGTTCAGGCAATACTCCCACCTTAGCCTCTCAAAGTGTTGGGATTACAGGCATAAGCCACCGCACTCAGCCTCACCAAGTCTTGTAACTTTTAAAGTCAAATTTCCAGAGTCACTTCTGGACCCGCCAGGCCTTTAAGTGTCCAAGTTCCAGCTTATTAAAAATCTTACATTAAATCTCTGTATACTTTTCTAGGCATTATAATTTCCAACTTCAAGGAGTTGAGAAAAAAACTGTATGAGGGCACCTCAATTTTATGGACTTGTTGAATGACCTTAGAATTAAAATTTCTCTAGCTTTTAACATTTGATTAGCATATCATACATGTATAGAATGTTTTTCTGAGCTTTCATTCTAAAAACGCAGAATTCATTTTATTTCTAAGTGTAGCTCAATTTGATGAAGTAGAAACACATGACATTTTATTTTAGAAAGCAATGTCTTAGCAAACTTGTTACTTGTTCCAATCTACTATGTAAACTCACCAAATGATCTTAAAGAGCCTTTGATAATGCATTCTTGACCTCATTTTGTTTGCCATGTATAATCATTAGAAGACTGTTCATATAAAAATATGAAATAAAACTATATAGTCTTTAAGTTACATTGGAAGGCCCTTTAGGACAAGAAACATACTCTATATCTTTCTGTCTTTAAATAATATAGCAGAGTGCATCACACAGTGAAAATGCCTATTAAATCAGGAATGCAGGAACAAGAGGGCTTATCATTTAATATCAATTCTAAAGCTGATTATTTATTTTTGAGACAGGGTCTCACTCCATCACCCAGGCTGGGGTACAGTGGTATAATCACAGTTCACTGCGGCCTTCACGTCCAGTAAAGCTGATTTTTTTTAGGCCATTTACTTGCTTCATAAAGTAACTAGAACGGTATGAACTATGTTTTTCTGTGCCTGTGATTATAAACTGAAAATTTACAAACAATATGTCACATGTCATTTGAGCTAAATGTGCGATTTTACCAAAATGAAGGTCCCTTCCTGGATTATTAGAATTAGCAACACATTTAAATTTGCATCTAGTATAGAAAAGAGATTGTAAAGAATGTGCAATAACTGAAGCAAACAAAGTCCAATAAGATCTTCCCTGTATTTGAATTTCTACGACCGAAGAGGCACAGGATGTAAGGCCCACAGCTTTGTGCATAGGGATTGGTGAGGAAGGGACGATTTCAACTCAGAACCCTAACGACCAGTTCCGGGAACACATGCCTTCTAGCCCAACAAAGCTACTGACCAAATCATCCAAGGAGATAATCACATCTCAGCCAACGGACTGAACTCAGACGATCAGAACACAAGACCTGCCATGAGGCAGCCGCACGAGACAAGAGACCGTGCTCAAAATCACGTAATACCCTAAGTCGTCCCAAGGGAGCCCACAACTACCCTCAGCGGCGGGGAGAACTGACGCGTATTTTGCAGATGACAACGCAGTGGTTCAGATGCGGCGGGTCCCAAGGCCACACAGCTGGGAAGGTAACTGAACCTAGTCTTAACTAGTATTCCAAGTGGTGGATACTTTCCATTCTGCCTGGGCGATAGCCCTTCGCCCGCGTATTACACTCCGAGGCTGGCAAAACAGCAGAAAGAGAGCAAAGCTGGGCAGGGACGGGAAAGAGGGCAGGGAATTTCTACTGCTTCCCGGCACTCCCCCCTACTCCACACCCCAGGTCGCTACTACGCGGCGGCCTCTACTTCCCCAAACTAGACTCCAGGGCGGGCGGGGGACCGAGGAGGCGTTCTCGCTGTCACGGAGAGTTCTCCAAGTTGGGGGCAGAAAAGGCGGCGAATGAACAAATGTACCCCCTAGGGTAAGGGCACAAGGAGAAGTGCGGAGGTGAGAAGGACGGGGGGGCGGGGATGACCCTTTACAAACTGGCCAGGGACTTAATGGTGGTCAGAGAGGCTTGGGAAATGCGAGGATGGCTCCGTCCCCAAAATCCTCCCCATCCCCCCACCCCCAACCCGGGCAGCTCTGGAGAAAAAGCCACAACCTCCTGGGGCGCCAGGAATTGGAGGCAGCAGGATCCCGGGCCCGGGCCCCCTTCCGCGCCCCCACCCTCACCCTTGCCCAGCCCGCCTCGCACTGGCGGCGGCGGCGGCGACACCAACCTGCGCGGCCACGGGCTCTGTCCGGGACGGAAGCGGGAGCCTGCGGGTGGCGGAGCGGCGGGCGGAGTTAGTTGGAGGCTCCGGCTCCCTGGGCGGGGACAGGATGAGCACGCGGCGGGAGCGACAGTGGCGGGGGCTCCCTCTCCTCCGCGCGCGCGGGGCCCCGGCGGGTCCGCTGAGCGTCCTGGACTCCCGGGCAGCTCTCCGTCCCTCCCCCGGGCGGCTCCCGGGCCAGCCCAGCTCTCGCCGCCTCCACGCCGGCTGCGTTTGCTCCGCCCTGCCACTTTGGGCGCAGCGGCCTCGGGGCTTGGGAACTGGAGCCCCGGCGAGTCCCCGCGATTGCGCGAAGCTTCCCGGGGTTTCCCTGAGGGAATCGCGTGTGCTGGGTGTGTGAACTCAGGTGCGGGCCAGAGGTAGCCAAGAGCTAGAACTCTTGCCCAACTGCCCTGGGGAAGGGAGTGAAGGCCGGGCCTGAAAGTCTCTGACCGCTGTGTCGAGTCCCTGGAAGCAGCCCTGCGAAGTGGCCACGCCAGCTGTCCGGAGAGAGGCAGAGGAAAATGTCCGACTCTCTCTCCGCCCAGTCTCGGGCCAGAAGAACGTTTCCCGGGAGAAGGAAGGACCCCTGGACCCCCAGTCCTTGCTCCTGCCTGGGGACCAGGCTGAGTGTATGGGAATGGAGGACAGAGCACCGGGGCTGAACGCGTGGGAAATGTGTGATTTCTATTCACACCATCTCTTTGCCCGGTCCCTAGATTCAGGCCACCTAGATCAGGTCTGCTCAATGCTTCCCAGCTCGCACCTCCGACCCGGGGAGGGAGGTGGGTATCCCATTCTTAGCGTGGCTTCTCACCTCCGTCTGCATTCCTTTCTGGGAAACCTTTTTAACCCTCCAGAGTGCCTAGTGCGCACACACAGATCACTTCCGCCACTAAACTGAGGGCAGGGAACTCTGGAGCCACCCACATCCCTAGCCTTACCCCAAAGCCGGAGAAAGCAGGGAGCCGTTGGTGAGGTGGTGGGGGCGGGGCTGGAGAGTTCCAGTAGGAAGGTTTTATACCCAAGAGGTTTGATGATGTGCAGTACTGACCCCACACACACATTGATATGCGTTTAACTGAGGACAGGTATTTGCTACGGTCTCTCCCTTTCTGCAGGTAACCGTCTGAGTGCGTTCACCGCGCCTCTTCCATCTACAGCGCCTGCCCAGCCGCCTCTCCTTCTCCCGGAGTCCCATCCTCCCTTCCCCCACGCTCTCCCATCCCATCTCCCTGCAGCGCGGGTCCCGAGCTGCTCCGGATCCCCAGCGCCGAGCTCTGGCCTTTCCAGACAACTCCATCCCTTTGGAACCTGGTATGGTAGCGAGGAGGTTAGGAGAAGGGACACTGAGGAAGATAAAGAAGAAGCCAGTGGACTGGAGAGAAGGTGCGAACCGAAGGGGCATGCGAGAGAGGAGCTGCGGGAAACCAGGCAAAGCCCTTAGGCTATAGGGGGATTCCCAGAAAGAAAATCCGTTTCGCCATTGAGAAACCACCGATGCTCGCTGTCGATCAATTGGAAAGTCTGTACAGCCTCCCAACAGAATTCCTAGCGAGCAGTGGGGAGACTGGTCAGGGCCTAGAGCATGCATCCACGAGCTCCACTTCCCAACCCAAATTCCAAGGCAGCAGATGACCCTAAGCTCTCCGCCGGTGTTGAGAAATTCATTCTGGAAACTGATTCTGACAAGGTGCGAGAAAACACGGAGCTGAGTCTGTTTAGGGATCCCCGGGCTGTTCTTCGTCTTTAGGCATCTCCTAAGTCACATGTCACATCTCTTCCTCCTGGTCTGGGTTACTAAGGAAAGCAAGCACCTGAGACCCTCCCTCAAATACGACTTTGTGTGTGTGTGTGTGTGTGTGTGTGGTGTGAGAGAGAGAGAAGAAAATGTGCAGAGGCAGGAGTCCTGGGCTATGGCATTTTGTGGTTTCTCCCTTTCTCTCTCTTTTTTTTTTTTTTAAGTTCAATACAGTACATTTTTGTGCCAAGATGATTTTAGTGGGTTAGTGGGTGACTATATTTTTGCCTTAAAAAATGTGTGAGAGTAGTTGGGACAGCACTTCTAAATGTAACCTGATGGTGAGCTCTCACGCCTTCAAGGTCCCTGTTGGCACAGCCGATTTTAGCTGTACTGTCAGACACCGAGTAGTGCGCCTTGCCTCAGAGCCTCAGAGTAACAGCCTCAAGGCATTGCATTCTGTGTGCAGGCCAGCTTGAGCAGTGGAGCCAAATACCTCCCCTTAGAGGTGAGGAGAAGCCACCCTTTTCACTGTCCTCAGGGCTCCACCCCACCTGAAGTTGTCTCTGCATTATGTGTCATTACAAGACTAGTCCTTAGTGTCCCAGTTTTACTTACAAAAACACTACATCCAATTTAATTATAATACCTCTTACTCCCCTTCTTATTTCCTCTAATGCTCAAAAGGCTAGGTCACTGAAAGTTCAAGAGGCTAGAAGGGGCCTGCCTGAACCAAATTTCTCTTTTTCTTCTCATTAAAAGAAAAATAGTCCTCGAAAGAACCTTATTAAACTTATATCCTTTCTGAATATGGTAATCTCTCTGTATCGATTATTTTAATTTTATATTAATGATATGATCTTACTGCAAAAGGTGACCAGTCACCTGATGGGGATAAAGGGTCTAGTTTCTTCCTGGAGAAATTCTGGCAGCTAAAAAGAATGGAAGGGTTTATTTACAGGCAGCAGAATTGGTCTCAGGCAGTGTTACCAAGTAGATGGAGACGGACATTCCTCTGTAAACCTCCCTCTTTTTTTCAATTTTCTTTCATGGCAGCCATGTCCACCTAATACTGCCAGTTCTCCAAGCCAATTTACCTCACACAAAAGTGTTAGGGACTTCAGATGTTATTTCCTGCTAGTGTTTGTCTTGAAAAAGAGCGACATTTCAAGCAGAAGTGAGAGAGTAAAGGAGGATTCATGGAAAATATTTCCTGTACCCTTTATTTTTTGACCTTTCTTTTCGTCATTTTATATAAAGATGGGTCTGATAGACAGAACATACTCTAAACAACTTGGCAACAGTTCAGGCCTATAGGCTTCTTTGAAAATTAAAAAAAAAAAAAGTGCACCCTTCCTCATTTCACAGCACTTCACACATGATCTAAGAGCACAGAGGGTTACATTCAAGTAGCAGAATAAGCTTCAAAATGGTTATATCAAACAGTAAGATTTGCTTATGCATATTAAGAACTACAAGAGAAAATATTAATTTCAATTTGCAAGTTGTCAAAAAGCACCTTGTGGGCCATATAACGAATAGCCCCATGTTAAAGTAATATATGTTTGTTCTTTAACAAATAAATTTTCCTCTGAAATATAGACATCTGTCATGGAGTCAATTATCTTGCACAGCATGTGCTATAAAAGCACATAAAAGCAATAATGTACTACATTGCTTATTTGAAATTGATCAGAATACACAGCTGCATGCTGGCATGTCTTTAATTTCATGGTGTTAAGAAAAGACTATAGAAGTATGAAAGAGCAAACCCTTTCCTACTGGAGTACTAATTCAATTACCTATCATGATATATATAGGAGGAAAAATTTTCCTCATTAGCTGGCAGAAACACTATGGGACCATTTTCTCGTCTTATTCTACTGACTGTTGTAGCGAGAGTGTGAACATGAAGTTTCCTTTGAAAACAAAGGGATCACCACAGTCTGATCAGTTCCAGGGGTGTGCACAAGAACAAAGATAGAAATGGTATTCTAAGGACATAAATTATCATTTAAATGAGGTGAACATTTACGAAATTTATGCATCAAACAGATCTCAAGATTTGAAAGTGTAATAAGGGGTAGTTAGAACAAGCTGAACTTCCTTGATGTAACGCAAATGTGAAACCTCTTTCTCTCTTTTCTCGGGCTGACTCGAATTCTCCCCTCTATCACTGCATGATGCACACATAAATAAAATAACAAAATATTTTGCAGAAAGCTCTGCCAGGTTACGTACACAGAGCCTTCTTGAATACCCCATATTACTTTCTCTTGTGACATGTTAAAACAGATTTGAAAAAAAAATCTTAAGGGTAATATTTTAATAGCTTCACTTAGAGAGTAGAATGCATTATCATTACGGTATAAAGGGTATCATTCATTTTTAATTCCTTGCTCCACAGGTGTTCCCTGCCCAGACTGTGGTTGACACTTAGAGGGCCTAATTATGATTCATATATCCCACATTCTGCAGAAATTGGCTCCTCTAACTCCACACAATGTCGTTATTCAGAGGAGAAAAATACGTTTCAGTACCACTGGCTAAACGTAGTGATTCTCAATCTTGTCTACATATTAGAATCACCTGGGAAGCTTTAAAAATCCTGCCACTTCGGCCTTGCCTCAGCTTGGCCTCAGACCCAATAAACAAAAATTTCTGGGGGTGGGGCCTGAGGAGAGGTGTTTAATTCCCCAGGTGGTTTTTATGTATAGTCAAGGCAACCATCTGCAGAGTATAAACACTTAGCAAATAAAACTATTCTTTGTTAATATACTATTAGCAAAGAACTACTTACCTATTAGATGCAGTTAAACTTTTTTTTTAATTAAAAAATTTAATTTGGTTTGATGAGGTAAGTTCTCCATACCAAGTTATGTGGTCTCTACCTACCTTAGGTGTCTGGCTGTGCTAGCAAGGCTGGTTCACAAAGAAAATCCATGACATGTCAAAAAAAGACACAGCAGCATATCCATGACGTACCCTCATTTTGGTGGATCTGTGACTGGAATCAAAGCCATAGCTCACTGTAGGAAAACAGACATGGGGGAAATTGAACCTTATAAGTCTTAAATTCCCACATGTAATCCCCTTGAGCTATTAAGCCATTATCCAATTGTGCAGTTAAAAAACAGATACATGCTATAATTAATTCTTTCTATAAAGTCCAAAGTTTAGAAACAAAATAATTACAAGGACAACCAGGGTCATCAATTTTATGTAGATTGAGCACTAAAGAAGAACCAAATATTTGATTCTGAAAAAGGAGTGTTAAAGTGCTGCTGGCAGTTTCACATACGTAGTTAATACATTCTGTATGCTTGTGGAATGAAAATAGTCCAACCCAAAGTGAATACATGATACTTTATATAAATAAGATATATAAATCATAAAAACTTTGTCCATACAGATTAGTATGATGTAGAATGAGGTGAAACAGGCAGATCAAAGGGGACAATCTGTTGATAGGAAATGGATATACTGGAGAAATTGAATAGGCAAATTTTATTTGACTGGATAGTGGAGATTATAAGGTCAAGTGAAGTCTAAGTAAATACTGCTTTTCTCCACTGCCTGATATGAAGTGATTACTAGCAGTCTAAGAAATTGGTATGATGGTGATGGAAGCTAAAATAATCATGGAATCACTAGAAGTTTCTGGAAATCAATGTCTATGACACTCAAGGCTCCACAAGCTTTGATTTTTTAAATAAGAAATTTACTGGGCCGGGAGCGGTGGCTCAAGCCTGTAATCCCAGCACTTTGGGAGGCCGAGGCGGGTGGATCACGAGGTCAAGAGATCGAGACCATCCTGGTCAACATGGTGAAACCCTGTCTCTACTAAAAATACAAAAAATCAGCTGGGCATGGTGGCGCATGCCTGTAATCCCAGCTACTCAGGAGGCTGAGGCAGGAGAATTGCCTGAACCCAGGAGGCGGAGGTTGCGGTGAGCCGAGATTGCGCCATTGCACTCCAGCCTGGGCAACAAGAGCGAAACTCCGTCTCAAAAAAAAAAAAAAAAATAAATAAGAAATTTACTTAGTTTTTCACCTGATGGATAGATTTAATTTCCTAATAAGGGGAAAATCCTTCATATTTTTCAAGTGAAAAATATACAAAAATTATTCATATGTATAAATTAAATGGGAAGGATTGGTAGATGCTGTTAAAATATTTGAGTGGTCTCAATTTTGTCAAATTTAGAAAATGCTTATACTTTTTTGGATTTTCCCAAATAATCATGTAATACATTTACTGTTTGGAAAAAATGATCAGTTTTATGTTCAAAGGGCATAATCTGCCTCTTTTGTCATAATCTGTTTCTTTTCAATAAATTGAAAATTGAAAATGAAGTATATTTGCTACACAAATATAAAACTACACAAATAGTTTTCTTGTTCATCATATTTGTATTCTTTTTTATTTTGCAGCTGTAGATTTTTGTCTCTATTTTAGGTTCTTAATCGGATGGCATTGGAGATTTGTTTTCAACAAGGAAAAAAAAAACCAAACAGATGTATAAAGAATGACATAAACTTTCCAGTCACATTTAGCAGCAACAGAAAACCACAAAAGGGTGTTGGAAATTTTTTGGTTTTATCACAAATAAAAAAAGCTTTTCAAATTAGCACACAGGAAGTCAGAATACCTGCTTCTCATTATTGTACATTTATTGCTAATAAGCTGTGTGGCATGTGCATTACTTCTCTCTGGGTCTCAGTTTTTTCATCACACATTGAGGGGTTGGCCTAGAGGACTGCATGTTTCTTTCAGCATGAAATTATTCTATGAAAAAAACCCACAAAAATTAATACAAGGAAATGTTTTGAGATTAGAGCCCTGTGTTTTGGAAACATTGATGGCTAAAAAAAACAACTGTTTTCAAATGCCAGTGTTTTCTTAATGCCTCACCCAACAGCCATGATGCTGTTGCCTGTCATGGGAGGTGGTTGTGCCTGGGGGCTATTCACCAACAGGAGTTTTACTCTCCAAAGATAAGGGTCACAGCCTCCTCAGAAAAGGACACCTGAGAAATTGGATGCTTGCATATTTGAATCAGCTATAGGAAGGGACTGGTCAAAGTATATTCTGGCCATTGGCCGCCAGGTTGGTCCCAGCAGCAGAGAGAAAATAGAGACGGTTGGTAAGGGAATCATTGTGTGGGGGTATGGATGAATGACTCTGTGGACAGTAATAACGAACACCCAAGTTTACGTTCCCTGCCTATATTGTTTTCTTTTTCTCATTCCTGTATACTGGTCTTTGCTGAGCTTTGAAGAAAGGTATGGGTCAGTCCTTGGGGAAGAGATGTAACAGCTATTTATTAACAGCCATGGCAGTAGGGAAATGTTTGTGATGTGATCTGATTTATAGAGGAGCCTGGGGTAGCAGTGCAGAGGGAGAAGCAAGAAGGGACACCAGAACAAACTTGTGGAACATGTCATGATCTTTCAATTGCCTGGAAAGGGGAACCTGATAAAAGGCAGGTCTTACTATCAATTTAACTAGGTGGAAAATTGGATTACTGTGAGCGTGTTAAAGGGAAAACACTGGAGGGTGGTATTAGTTTGGGCATTTGGGTTACAGCAGATCTCTTATTTGTTGAACACCTACTTTGTGTATTGTTGAATGGTTTTTGTACTATGCCTCTCACTTATTGTAACTTTCTGTCCAGAAATAGAAATTGGAGAAATACACTGAATCAAATGATAGGTTTAATTCACTCCTAGCATGGTTTCTCCACTAATCAATGCTCCATGGCTGAACATTAGTAAGTATGTATCTTTTATCTTCCATTTTTAAAAAATCCACTGTAGCAGTAGATAATTGGCCTCCAAAGATACCCATGCCCTAATCCTTGGAACCTGTAAATATGTTACCTCACGTAACAAAAAGGCGTTTGCAGATGTGATTAAGGTTAAGGACATTGAAATGGGAAGATTATCGTGGATTATCCAGGTGGGCCAAGTATAATCACATGGGTCCTTCAAAGTAAAAAAGAAGACAGAAGAGTTGGCCAAAGAGATTCAAAGATGGAAAAAGAGGTGGAGGAGATGAGACATGAGGTGGACCAGACTACTATAGCTGGCTTTGAAAGTCAAGGGGACCATGAGCCAAGAATTGCAGGTGGGTCTAGAAGCTGAGAATAACTCCAGGCCAACAGCTTAAGAGGAAACAGTTTCCTTAGTTCTACAACTGGAAAAACAAGTCTGCCAGCAACCTAAATGAGCAAGCATACGGATGTGCCTCTAGAGCCTCCAGAAAGGAACACCGCCCACCAAAATTTTGATTTTTGCCTGAAGAGATACACTTTGGACTTCCGATCTACCAAACTGTAAGATAAAAAAATGCATATTGTTCTAAGGTGCTAGGCTTGTTATTTGTTAAAGCAGCAACAGAAAAGTAATAATATCCACTACATCTAGTGTGAAAGC